CCATTTGTACAGCTAAACCTTACAATATGACAAAACACATTTCCCAGAGCTTGTCTCAACAACAAACTTGTATAGAACTCATTTACAACTATTCTGTTGAAACCAGCCTTAGATCACGCTGCCCTTTCTGAAGGTGAAGCACACTGTCCCTGATGGAGATCACCAAAATTCGTCTGTGATTTAACCCTTTGACATTATCAATGTCAGTGAAAGTTTCAGGTAGCAAGTAAGAAACTAATTAAAAAAGAAATAGATGGTATGCTTGGGTCTGAAGCTCACAACTCAGCAACCTTATGCAACGGACTGTTTACTGCTGTATCAGCCATTTCAGTAGCAGGCAGCTTGCTGGGAATCTTAGCAAAATTCCAATGTTTGCTCTGAATGTCTGACCACTATTGACCACTCAGCTGATGGCAAGAAAGGCTGTAACCTACTTATAATCCAAGAAACCAAGTCTGCCACTGCAGTGAAGTATAACGTAACAGCTGTCTCCAGCATCCTAAGTGATGCCTGACATAAGGGATTACTCAATATGAGAGCAGATTCTCACTCCAGGCTTCAAAAACCTGTGTTAGATTTTTTTAATAAAATTTGTAGAATTCTTTAATTCTGGTTATAAATTACAGTGGCTCTTCTTTCAGGCAACCCTTTCTCAAATGGAGACTGAGATCAGAATGATTACTTCAACATTTAAAAGAACATTCTCCTCTACAAAGAGGATTCTGCAAAGACATCAGGCCCTGTTTTGTTCCTACTTACACCAGTGTTTCCATGCAATTCATTCAGCTGCTTTTGACACACCTGTTTTGCAAAGAGGTATTAAGCTATCAATGTAAAAATTGACATTTCTCTAGTACCAAAGAGGAAGACATGATTCTGAAACTGTCTTTTTTCCAACCCAGTGCTTCTGTCCAGCTCATTTACAGTCAAATAGCAATTATTTTAGTCTAAGAGCAATTACCAGATTTTTGTCTGACTGTGTGAGGATTCAGTGACTAGTAATCCCATGAGAAAGGGCATTACAGCCACTCCTAGAATATGTCTATTTATGTCTAAATAAACTACAAGCTGAGGTTTGAAATTTAGAAAAGAGCATCAGATTAGACTAATGCAGCAAGCTATAGGGTGAAATTCAAGACTGTACAGGTGGTCAGCTCAGAAGTTATGCCCTGAAGCTTTGTTAAGGAGTTAGAGGTACTAGTTTTCATTTCAAGTCAAACCCAACCCAGGAGCGTCATAAACATGTCTACGCCTCAGTCAGAGCCTGAAATACTGAGTTATAGTCAAGCAGGAGGGGAAACTGGATGAAGGGAAACCATTAGACATTAGAGTGATTTAACGCACAGGACATGAAGCTACATCAGCCCAGTGAAGGTGGATCTGTTGGACTAGAGTAAGGTCTAGAACCTGAGCTTTGACTGCTGTAAGGATTATCGCTTCTTTATTTTTTAAGGTGGGCATAAGAAAATGAAGAATTTAATTATTTTCAGTGGAAACTGGATGCATACCTCACACAGTTTTCTTAAAAAATTCCAGGTACAGGAATATGAAGGAATTTGTACTTGGCAGCCCTTAGGCAAGAATAGCTGCTCAACATCTCAGAAAAGGAAGGACACCTATTTTGTAGTTACTTAATTAAAGATTTTAAAACATAGTAATAAAGGCAGCTAAAATGACTCGGGTCCATTGTTGAGAAAACAACTGCTTCGTTGACAGCTGCCGTAAAAAAACAAATTATGTAAGAGTGAGTATTTGAGCTGTAAGCAACTTCTCTCAGTGCTTACAGTGCAGTATCTCTAAGCTTTTCAGAGCTGGGGGTAGGTGAAAAATGCCAGTTTGCTGAAGATAGTATCAGCCTTTGTGAGTTGCCTCTTCACATCACTTTCAGATGCCTTTGAACTCTCCATATTGTTAACCTGCTTTTCTAAAATCTAGAAAAAAATAAAAAGGTTGTTCACCTTTCTGTGCTGTCCTAAGCCACCACTCATTTATAATGATAATTACATTGAACTTTGTTAAAGAGACAGTTTTACTAAAAAGAGAAGCAAAGGAGGGGTAAAAAAGGGAGGAAAAAGAAGAAAGTCTTTAAATCTATGTGCAAAAATGCTGGCTATAAACCTATAAATGTGGATTAAAAACCCCATAGCTATTTCATATTAAGGAATTGCAATAACTGCACATGCAAACATATGCAGGCAACTATTCATAAATTTGTATTCCTAGCCTCTTAAAAAATATCTTTAAATAAGCATTGCCTTTGAGTAGCCATAGGAAGTGAGGGGATTTGTGGATAAAATAACAGATGCAAGAAGAGGTAGGAAGTTAACGTTTGGGAGCTCCAAGTCTAAGTGACTTATCTGAGGGATGGCATCTTTATTTCATGCAATCATATCTCCTAAAATTCATCACTTTAAGATGGGTAGAGAATGACAACAAAATTATTTTTCTGATTATGGTAAGTAATGCATTTGTCAACAATACCATCAGTCTGATCCTATCAATCTCTCCAAGCTGATATGGGATGGAAGTGAAAATTATCAAACTGTATAATGGGCAGGAGGGGAGCAGTAATGAGAAATTAAGCTTGCAGAAAAGCATAAAAAGAGAGGAAGATACAAATTAGTCTATTCAATCACTAAAGAAGATCTGGAATTGATTACCAGGGAGAAAAAGACAAGGTTATACAAGGAAAAAATAAGAAAGATTTAATTTTTTTGGTAACATTTCTAAGATTCAGTTCTCTAAAGCGAGCAGCTGACATTTTGCAAGACAGCAAATTACTAGGGAAACATACCTCATGCTATCTCAGAGGCTTATTTTGTTATAGTTCACAGAACCACAGTCACTGAGGTTGGAAAGCATCTCTGGAGATCATCTATTCCACATCCTCTGCTCTGATCAGAGTCAGCAAAAGCAGGTTTCTCAGGGCTGTGTCCAATCAGGTTTTAAGTACCTCCAAAGATGGAGATTCCACAATCTCTTTTGGGCAACCTGTGCCAGTGTTTGATCACCCTCACAGCAAAAAAAAAGTTATTTCTTATGTTTAAATGGAATTTCCTGTATTTTAATTTATGCCTATTGTGCTTTTCTCCATGTCCCCTTAATTTGAGATAACAGGCCTTTGACAGGAATTCTGATTATAGTGAATTACTGTACATTCATGCATGCACATGCTTGCACTTGTGCAAAAGAATACAGGGCTATTGAAAATGCCAGAACATACTTGTCCTATGGAGACATATTTGTATGCCACATTATTTCATTTTGCCTCATTGTGTCTAGGTGCAGTTATCCATATACTCAGTATTCAAAATTATGCTCGTTCATCGAAAGAGTAAGACAGTTGCAGCATTATTTATTCTAATAATCTGCTAACATCTTGGTTTTATCCTCTCTCATGTTATGAAAAATTACAGGCAGTTGCTTGGCAAAAAGCGCTTAAATGTTGTAACTTGTCCCTACTTAAGCCTCTGAGGCTGAAGACTTGACTACAAATGAGACAGACACAGGCTGCAGATTTTGGTTCTAACAAATTCAAAAGATTTATCCATGAACATATCTACAGGCAAACAAAGGCATTGAGGGAACATATGCCAGCAGACTGGGGCACTCTGACTTCTCACTGATTTGCATCCAGTGACTGTTTCCCCTAACATACATAAACAACATTGGAAACAGGGGCTAGAAACCACCTCTACCCTAGTCACGTCATAGCAGGTACATTACAGAGTAACATGTCCTCTTCCACCCTCTCCTCACCTCAGGACTCCTGCATTCCCTGCTAATGAGAGACCCCACTCCAGAAGCTGCGCGCTGGGGCTGCAGCCATCACTGCTGTGCTCAGGGTCGAGCCCAGCTCCATGGGCACACGTGGGGCACACACTGGGCCTGACAAAGTGGGCCACTCCAGCAGAGCCCAAGGAGGATGGGGTGAGAGATTGCTACCTGCACAGCCAGTTCTGCCCCTGCACTCAAAAGTAGCTAACTTTTAGGCTATATTTAGTGAGTGGAAAAAAACTGGTGGGTGAGGCTTCCTAGACTGCGTATTGCTATAATGAAGTTGCTGGACTTAGAAAGCTAAACTCCGTTAGAGATAGGGTTTTTATCCCTATGGGTATTTGATCTTGCCTTTGGGGCCTCATCCAGGGCTTTATTTGCAAGGCTCTGACAGGCTACGGTGAGTTTATTGAGCCCTAACATCTGCCAGGAGCTGAATGTCTCTTACGAGATCTTTAGCACCTTCTGCCCCTCCTTCACAAGGGATGCTCAGCTCTTTCCACAGTCTGAATTGGGTACTGCAGTGTTTAGATTCCTTTCTGAGCATTTCTAAAACATGCCCTAGAGATTTCATATTCTTGCTTGCTTTCAAATAGCTAAAGGCATCAGCTATAGAGGACACTGACTTGCTGACAAGTGACATTCCCTTTTCTTTGCTTACTCTGGCCTCTCCTTCTGGAACAGTCGTTACAGTTGGTTTTTTTTCACAGACTTGGCGCTGTCATATTATTTGTATGCAGCTGAAAGAAGTCAGTGAACATTCTTGATCAAAGCACAGATTACAATAAGATGGTACGGTGAGCACACATTTGCTGCCTACATGCATTTTTCCAAGGGCTTCTCACAAAACAATCCTATGTGCACAGGCTGTACTTGGGATGCTGAGGGTGTTGCCTGCAAGAAGATGTTTGGTAGCACATGGCTGCAATAAACCAACAGGTCCCTCTGGTATTTGTGTGTTCTTTAATGAATATGCAATGAGTATAAGGAAGCTAAGAAACAGACCTACCCTGGCAGAACTCACAATCCATCTTTTCTAATGTAGTTTCTAAGTAATTTATACATTTAATGTGTTCTTCACAATAATGCTTACTTTCATGCAGACCTGCTAAAAACAGTATTTAGAAGCTTTTAAATACAGTAGCAAATCTGACAACTGTTCATATAATATCTTTTGCAGAAACTACCAGAAAATGCTACAGAAATAGGCCAACAAAGCTGACCTGTAGAAGGAAAGCCTCAGCTAAAGTGGCAGAGTGCTGGAAGTAGAACCTTGAATTGCAATTTCTCCCAGCTTGCAGAGTTGTCACGTTGAATTCACTAGCTTTTTGCAACCTAGAAAGAGAAAATCCTGAATGTCCAGATAGCATACAACATACTGCTATTGTACAATGATGTGGGAGGTGAAATGCAGCTGATTTTGTAGGGATATAAGTTTCTGTATTTTGAAGAGCTTCACTACCTTTCAGAACGACTTCAGAATCTTCCCTATAGACTTCCTCTGACAGATTGTGATAATACCAGTTCTTCACAGCAATACTTCATCAATTGTCTAACTCTTTAGGCTAGTATCAGCCAGTATTTTAAGACTACAGCAACACAGCATCAAATCAGATCTGGAAAACTGCCTTTTCCTCTTACAAGATTTAGGTTTACAAAGAAAAAAAATCATGATCAAAAGAGGAAGGACTTAACAAGAAAGAGAAACAAGCCTATTGTGAAATTGAAAATCACTCCCCAGAGTAAACAAAGCACATGAGGCTGCACCTAGTGTAATATTTTAAACGGCTGAAGTCTAATAGCTAGACTCCTTTTTTCTGCTGGGCTTTTTGTGCCCTCTTCAGGATTTATAGTGAAATGAATAGACAAGCACTAGTGAGATTTATTTGTACTTACTCATGTAGTTCACACAATTGTACCTACAGAGGGGCTTGTTCCCAGCAAAGCCAAAGGGATAAACAATGGGAACAGTACCAGATCAGGAAAAAAGTACTGGCTGAACTTAAAATCAGTTTGCTCAGTAAGAAAATACAGTTTAATGTTTGAAAAAATATTTGAAGAAAAACTGCACCTTCACAGCGCAGTGGACAAAAAGGCAAATAGAGCACTCAGGAGAGAGGGAAGGGAGGCAGAAGGAATGTTAGGGAGGCAAAAGGATAAATAATTACAGGAACTGACAAAGCACCTTGAGAACAATGTCAGAACTCTGCTATCCTTCTAAATTCATTTGTCCCCAGGCAGAGCAGAAGTGAACTCAGAAAAGAATCCTTCAGGTTTTTTTTTAATCAGAGTTCATAGCTCCACTGTCCTGAAATAGCTCATAGCTAGTATCTCAAAATATGCTTGCTCAACATGCCAGAAGGCATAATGCACATGAAAATCTCTCTGATCCAGCACTGGTCAGGCATCTGTGTTTATTGGGGCTGACATTCCTGAAACTTCTTTTGCTGGTGCTGCCAATTTTTTTGCGGGACTTCTGAATAGCAACCTCCATGTCCTCAAGCTTTGCAGCTTAAAACATGGAATGTTTTTCCTCTCATTGTCACATGTTTTTGGCAGTCATTAATACACTGAAATGAGTGAGAATTGTATTATCAAAAATTAAAAACACAGATTTTTTGTGTGTAAGGTAAATCTAGGATTAGGGCTTTTTTTCCTCCATTTGGTTCCAAAATCAAATTTGCCCAGTTATGCTTCAGAACTTTCCTCTACCATGAGGGGAGCTTTCAACTCTTAAACAACAAAGGTTGAAAATCTAATTCCATCTGAATTACAACAGCTCAGGCGTTAGAAACACTAAACACTGTGATAGCCTTGGTGAAAGCTGGCCATACTGTCATCATGTCCAACACCCCACAAAGTTCATCTAGGGTTAGTGATTGCTATTTTCTATGGATTTACTTGGATAACACTGATGAAGGGATTTCAAGGAGGGTCAGTGTGTGCCTTCAGCACAGTTGTAGGCTCACAGTGCTCACTAGAGCTGAGCCCAAGACAAAAGCACCAGCCCAGCACACCTCCTGACCTGCTGCTGCCGCTGTGCGCAGGGCTGGATGTGGTCAGATGTAAGACTCTGTATTAAAGTGCCTGCAGATTTAAGCTAACCTGCTCAGCAGCTGAACAGTGAAATGCACTCACACAGCCCATAGGTACCTCAGCTGAGAAAGACAACTCCCCAGGTGAGCTGGCTCTGTGACAGCTGGCTGCCAGACCATTTCCAGGCAGTTTAAACAAGACCAGGATGAGCACAAGAGCCAGAGCAAGATGCAGGACATACCGTTATTGAGGTATTTATAGTGGCCTGAGTATGGAGCTAGCTGATGGTGTTGAATACACCTGAAAACAGGAATCAGCTGTAATGCACAAAATGCTGTATGAGTTGAGGCTCCTAGAAAGACACTGCCTGCCCTTTGTAGCAAAAATGTACCATGGGATCAAGTCATCCAGGGTGAGACATCAGCACACCTTTAATGCTGTGGCAAGCATTAAGCAAGCACAGCTTGAGCTTCAGAACTAAGCTCACTCCTGGCTCTACCACTATATTTGCTCTATCAGCTAGGGAGAAGACATTAGGAGGGCAAGACCCCACACTTTCACCACCCATCCTGACCACCTTTGAGTATGTTTGAAGTAGCTGTAAGTTCAAAACACAAGCTTGTAATGGGTCATCCTGCAAGAACACAGGCTTGTCTCCCTGCTCTTTGCAGTGGAGGGAAGCTAAACATACTCCAGCACTTAACAGAGTTACTCTAAGATCCCAAAGTGGTTATTTTCACTCTTAGGATACCAAGCCCTGGTAGCATAATGTACAGACCTTGTAATTTTTGCACTTGGTCAGCAATCTAGGAGAATTCTTTTAAATCCATCTAGAAATCAAAGATCTCTGCTTACATACACTATTATAGGAGACAAATAACCTGTAAATAATTCACATGAAGTGCTGTTGAAAAACACCATAACCTTGCCCCGAAGGCTTATTGCTGTACAGAGGCTTTGAGGTAATTTTTTTCTGCAGAGAGGCTGGATGGGAGGAAATAACTACCCGTACATACCTTGTAGCTTTGGGATCCCAAATTACGATGTCAGCATCAGAACCCACAGCAATTCTCCCTTTCTTTGGGTAAATGTTAAAGATTTTTGCTGCATTTGTGCTGGTAACAGCTACAAATCTGTTTTCATCCATTTTGCCACTGTACTGGAGAAGAGTGCACAAAAGCAAACTCATTACTTTTTTAAACAATGAATGAAAAAAATGTTCCTGTTGTTGAAAAGGCTAGGATGAGTGACAGCTCTCTGCCAACATCACATCATTTTTTTTAATGCCATACTGAAGAGTTTAAAAGAAATAAAAATAACTCTTTGTCTCAGATGTACATACTGCAGTGTACATTCACTGAATACAATAACTTTATCTTACTTTATCCCACAGCAAGGGGAAAAAAAGACAACTTTAAAGCCAAACTCTCTGTGCATCAGTCCCAACCCAACTGAAATAAAATTTTGTATCTGGCTTTGAATCTGTAGTCCTGCTCAGCAGTTTTCTCAGGAGACATCTCTCAAGTATTTAGGTTTTGGAAAATGGTAAGACAGTATTAAGGAAAGCCTAGAAGATGACAAAAGAGAGGCAAGGAACAATGTGTAATATAGGAAAGGTGATTTGCAAATCTCTTCAGCAGTAACACAGAGGATGGTACTGTTTAGTAAATGTTTGAGATCAAGTAGAGCCTGTTGAAAAAATATCTTGCCCAACAGCACACACTGTTCAAAAGCAGCACTGATGTACATATTGATGTCTTGCTTTCATACTAACAACAAGCTAGATTATGTTCCAGTTTACACCGTAAATAATCCCATTAGAGCTATGCCACAGGTGAATATAGGCAGAAGTCTGCCTTGTACATGCCAGCTGGAGCTGAATCCCAAATACAGATAAATAAGAGAGATTCTGAACCACATCCTTACCAAGTGTGTGAGGTAGATAATTCTACTGTGACAAACAAATATGCTTTGCAGTGCATTATCAACAAGACTTCACTACTGCAAAAGAACATTAATTAGAAAGTTGAACTAGACCCTCTGGAACTAGCCAGAGCAATCATAACACCCAGTAAGCAGCAGACCCCTTACCAGATTGCCTTACCTCCCCCCCTCATCAGACTACCCCATATCCAAAAAGGCTGGCCACTAGCTTTCATATTTATATTTGTTTAGAGCCTGACGGGCATTGTCGTGAGAAGCACTGAGCATTCTTGTGTTGGCACTGAGAGTCTGAAGTCAATGGGACCTCAAGGTGCTCATCTCATCATATCACAGGACTGAGCCATACATTACAGAAGCATTTCTTATCTCTAGTGTGCTTCCTATGGCTGAAAACACAAATCAGAAGTTGACAGGCCCACACCCAGTGTGGAAGCTCCTCCAATGGCTAAGTTTGAGAGAGATCGAAGAGGAAAAAACACAGAACTGACTAAGTCAAAACTGTGGGCACCTCTTTCCTTTTACTTTCCTTTCATCTGTTGAAAAAAATGCTGCAACTAAATGTACTGTGCACTACCACTGAAACAACAGCAGTGCTTTGCTGCTAAATGATGGAAATGGTTCTCTAGTGCTATATTTTAAGTACTAAGAATCCTCTTCTAATCTCCCAGGACCATAAAGTGAGAGTTAATAAGGACCTTGTTATGGTATTTTATCAAAGGAGCTGAGCTATCCTGTGATACATACACTTGATGAAACTGGAGAGTTGATAACTGCTGAGAGTTTATATTTTGTTGGAGAAATCAATTACCTCCATGTTCAGACATCTTGATATACTTACAACGCCTTTTTCCCATATGACTGACATCCTGTCTTCCACACCATTCACTCCATTAGGGATTTTTGTGAAGTCATCCTTCCCCAGAGCTTTCTGGCATACGTCAAAGGTGCAATTGTCAGTCCCTGTCACAGACAGGTCATCACTATGGAGCAACAAAGTTCGTTATGAATCAGAGCATGTACCAGACCGTGCCACATAGGAAAATCTGTTGCAAGGCTGAGTAGATCCAGCCATCCATCCTGCAATGAAAAGTTGATATACCCTGCCTGGATATCTTCAGTCCCATCCTCCAAGAGTAGCTCCACAGTAACAGTCAGTTTCCCTGTGAAGAGGTTTCCTCTTCAGAAACCCCTCAGAAAAAAACAAGCAGTAAAAATAACACTTTTACTTTGGATACATCAAAGGTGTCCCACAAGTGAAGGACTGTCCCACTCTGCCCAGAGCAAGGGGCTTGGTTCCATCCTCACTTAGGGCAATTGTAGACTGTGTCACTCCATAAACCCTGTGAAATTACTACAGATCTGCACAACCATAAGCCAGTTTTCAGGCATACTTTCACGGACTCTTCAGTCAAATTCAACCCTTTCGTGGAGTTAAGATTTATTGGTAATTAAATACCAGCAAAACCAGGTATCTTTGTTAACTGCAGATATCTGAAGGATACTTCTGTTCCTACTTCCTTTTGAAGGAGATGTTATGAAGTGGACAACTTATACCTACCTTCACAAGTCTGCAGGCTTAGTTTTTATGCAGCATCCAAATTTCAAGTGAAAAGGCAGTTGACAACAAAACCCCTAGCCATGACCCACTTTTTACACATTTCCCACCAGCCTTGCTGTCTGTCCCCCTGGTCATGTTGCAATTTTTGCTACAGTATTAGCAAGGCAAGGCTTATTGATTAAAAACAGATGGGGACAGAAGGCCACAAGAGTTCAGAGAAACAAAATCTGAACACTTTCTAATTTCTGTAACAAAACATGTTTTTCATCTATGGTTTCACCTTCCATTTCTCCTTCCTGATAATATAACATTCTGTACTTAGAAAATCTCCAAGGCATCATCCTGTTACTATATACTCCAGACAGAATTTGCTGTGTATTTGGGCATCAGCTGTCACTGTTTGTTCATCTGCTTACTTGGCCAGTAAGTTCATGAGGAAACCAGGAGTAGATGGATCTGGTCTCAGCGGAGGTCCCATGACATATGCTGCAGCATGAGCCCAGTCTTTATGCCAGTAGTTGGTGCCATCGGTGCCAAGACTAGCAGCAATAGGCTCCCCATAAACCACCTTTCCTGAAAAATGTAAAGCAATAGTATCATCGTCAAACAACATAAAAATGCATACCTTGTATTCTTCTCTGTTCCGGATCTTTTTGGTGGCAATGGATTTAAATTTGAATGAGTGTTTCAAATTAAACACCAACATATGGAAGGACATAATAAACTAAGCTATAACACAGCATCTCTGTTCTGAATATTCTGCTGGTAATCTCCCAATATATTTCCTCATAAGAGCACTGCTTGGGCAAGTTTTTTAATTAAATTGTTGACAGATATATTATAATGGGGTTTACATGTTGTTTACCAGGCATGTGATTGAGATTTCAAAAGGAAAACAGTCCTCACTTCTATTAATTATGTTCAAGATCCATATATTTCTTGGTAGCACCTGTTTTGTGCTCTGAAATTATTGACTATGTAACAATGTAAATTAATATATACAGCATACAGACTGCAAGGTGGTACTTTTAATTGTCAGGCTATAATTGTTCCAGGAAGAACAATATGGCACCAGACATAAATTTAAAGAGTGTAAAAACACTTCCCAAATAAAAAAGTATAATTTAATTAAAAAAGTTAACTCTCAAATTTTAATCTTTAATTCTTTGTTGCACAGTATTATAGATTCCTCAGAAGAGGACACCAACCCAGACTGGCTGTTAGCCTTTGGGTAGAGCTAACATATTTTAACTACTTTTTCCTCCTAGGAAACATGGGTTTGAAACTCATCAGAACAAGATGGGAGATGAAACGAGATGTTTCACTCCCTGAGGAGGTGGTCTAGCCACTTTGCAGTTCTGTAGGTGACAGGTGGTAATGCCCCTGACTGTGATGGTCACCAAAGAACCAGAGCGAGCTGGGACCTCACATACCCACTCATAGGCTGCTTGGTGCTGGTTAAAGGCAACCTCTGCTGGATCCCAGCAAGAGCTTCCTCCCTGCTCCCTACAGACAGCGGGTATCTGGCTGTGGATCCCAGATTTCTCTCCGGGCACAATTTTTATTAGAACTGTCAGTGCATTTCCCCAGCAAGGGTAACTGCTTGGTGATATAAGACAGTGACCTTTCTCTGGCTTTCTGCGTGTAGGTCATACATTCACGGTACTGTTGGACATCAACAAAGAAAACCTTTGCAGATTTCGCTCTCTACATTAGGTACTGGTACTTCTGTGAGCTACTGGACTCTAATTGCGACACTAGCACAGCTGGCTACTGAGGAGCTCAATTCTTTTCAAAATATGTTTCCCACCGCAGTAGTGCCATTCCTTAAATCTCCTGTGCTAGCCTTGCAAAAAGGCCTCACACCATTTAAACCCCATAGTTCTACACTTATTTCTACAAGGTTTCAAGACCTGCTCCAACATTACTGTACTGTACATTTACTCCAAGTACTACATAGTAAAACTTCTTCTATGACCTAAAGACTCCCTATTAGAATTATTAATTTGCTATAACCACCTCAGCATGCCCTGATATGCTGAATGTGCTTGTCTTACACTTACAGTTTGGCTTGGAGCATTTTAAGCTCCCAGTCCCACTTATCTACATACACTATAGATTTACACTTGGGCTCAGAGGGAGACCGCCACCATTTTTTGGACTTGAAATCATGACTTAAGCAGTTACTTACTGGTTTTTGCCTCTTATTTTCAAAACTTAAAGCACTGAATATGAGGCCATCCATGGAAGTGATGTGATCACTCAGTGAATGAGGAGGTTTGAGTCAGATTAGTCTTTTCTTAATTCAGGGCAGCTGCAGGAGTCAGGGGGATCTTGGCCTTCCCTGGGCAACTCCAAACACAGTATTTGAGGGCAGGCTGCCACAAACCTAGATATATACAGAAAAAGTCCTGCATATATAACCAATCTCCTATATTTACCTATTAGGCTTTTGACAGACTTTTCATGAGCAAAGTCAGCAGGAAGGGGGGGAGGGGGAAATGTGGTGTGATGTGCATCTTTCCTACTGCATCTAAACAAGCTGAAGAAACTTCCATCCTAAGTAAACCTTAACTATGAATCATGAGGACATGGCTATAAAAGATAAAAGTTAAAATGGTAGTAAGGGGTAAATGTTTAGTTTCCACAAATAATTTTCTTATCTTTTTTATGTTTCACAACATAAAACTGAAAAGAAGTCCCCAAGCTCACAGTTGTATAATGCTGAGTTGATTCTAACTCATGTACCATAGCTCATGACAGTATTTCTGTAGTCCGAATTTGACCTGAGCAGCTCCCCTTGTTCCCATGAGTGGGAAGGAGTACAAGCTTCAACAGACTACATCTGGACACTTCTGCTGACTGTGCAATTTCTTGCATTTCATTTGGATCATGAGTAGTCAGACTGAAGGGTACAATAATATCAAGATTCTGCTTTAATCCAAATAACAGAAAAATTCTGCATTACAGCTCTTCTAGCTCAATTGGCTTCTGCCTATACGCATGGAAGTGGAGTAATGCGGTAAAAAATCAGGTCTTTCCATTTGTTATGTTTTCCTGCGTTCAATAAAAACAGTAAGCAGAAAGCATTCTGCTGTTTGGTCTTTCTGACATCTCCAAGCTGCTAGGAAATAGCTGTGGATTTGGTCACTTCATCAGATGCCCAAACTGGCAAGAGCTATTTTCACATAAATAACATTATAACAAAGAAGAACATGCAATTGCAATTTATTTTACCACCTATCAGAATTCAAAAACAGCTATAATTTTGAGAAACAGTAACTAACATTTACAGGCTTGAAAAACTGGTCCCTGTGTGCTTATTCTAGTAAAAGTTTCAGAAGCACTTAAGATAAGGTCATACGGGGCAAAGATACTCACTGACCAGCTGTGAGTGAGAAGAAGCAGAACTGCAAGGCAGGGTTTATTGAGTCAGGCATAGTTAGCTGTCCTGCATGAGCCAGCAAAAAAGTTGGTATTTTTAGTTCACTCCTGTGCTCAGAATCAGCTTGAGAGTCTGTATACCCACAGCTATGGATATGCCCTTCCTCTCAGTAAGAGCAGACCTGGCCCGAGACTGATGGTAGGAGGTACCAACTTTCTAAGTATAAGCAAGCTTCTTGTAATCTCTATCAAGTACATATTTTTGTATGCACTTTTTTTAAAAAGGAGAAACCTTTTCAAAAAATTGACTTTTTAGTAAGATTCTGCTTTCTAGTTCTGATCTGCACTAGAAAGTCTTACCTCCTCAGCTGTAACAGCACAGTTAAATGGGCAAAGGGACATGATCTCTAGCCTTTAGTACACTTAGAATGAAAGTATTTTTACATGGGAGGTAGTATAAACCATATATCCCTAAATCACATTTTATTAGCCTTGCTTCCCCATACGTGTTACTGGCCGAAGGAATGGGTGACAGGGCCTCATTAGTTTTCCCCAGTAAGTTTATATCAGGTAGTCCTAACAAGGAGAGGGAGCTGCACTGCCTGACACCAGCACTCTACAGCCTTGTCTTCTCATTGTAGGGAGCAATAGCAGGAATTTACACAATAGCAGGAAGAGGATCCTCTTTGTCTTTCCACTCGAGGGAATGAGACTGTCATGCACACAGACTGCCCTTCTGTGGAAGCAGACAGTTCCTTTACCTGTTCTAGCAAGATTCAAGATCATGTTTTGCACAGGGATGAAGAAACAGCCTGCTGAGATGAGCAAGAACAGTTCTCACAGAGAGGTAGAGAGGTGCTGTCTTTGACCCTCTCAAGTGGAGAACTGGTGAACCATTGCTTTTGGCAAACAGGCTGGTAGGGCCCAAGAAAAGAACAGGATGGGGGAACGAGTCAACCTGTCCCTCTCCAACACAGTCACAAGGTGTAAATCTTGGATTTCCTGTTGAATATTCAGCAGCACTGTAGCTGTTACTAATGTACATGAAAAACATGCTGCTACAATTTGGAGACTTCCTTTGGTGACTGGTGTTGCTGGAGATCAGAGCAGACATAGATGGTGGGCTTTGGCATGGGGGCCAAGAAGGAAAGACTCATGTGATTTCCCTGAAGTTTGCTTATTCTACTATAAGAACTAGTATCCCTTTACAGTCTGTATGACTGCGTTTAGCCTTTAAATTCTGAGCCATAGCTCACTGAAGACAACAGAATTATGCCTACTGTCTTCAGCAAACTGTATCAGGCCTTCAGGCTCTAGCTCCAATATTATTTTTCACCTTGTATAGCTAAATGATGGACAAGGAAGAATTGGGCTCTGACTTACATTTTTGACTAGGAAAATCACCATCCCGCAGAATTCAGAAGCAACGCTTCAACTCTGGTATCACACTGTCACCCAGAAAATAGATTATGCTCACTGAAGATCAGTCTCCCCCCTTCTGAGGTCAGTGTTGGAATAGGAAGGGATATCAATCTTCCTCTGACATAGGCAAGGATGAATATGCACCCACACACTGTACTTCATGCTAAGTGGTTGGAAAGGAACATGAAAAATTTTATAGTTGTAAAGCAGGAAGCCAGCATCAAAAGGTGGGGAAATAATATTGAAAAGATTAATAAACTGCATTAGATTGAATATTTCAAATGCTTGAGAGTCTTCTGGTATTTAAGAGTTTACACAGCTTTCACATTAGAGTGGTTTTAACCTGTCCAAGTTGAACATCTTTCAGCAAAATATTTGGGTTTTATTTATGTCATTCATACAATACTTTGAGAATATTTTTTTTTTCTGGAACTCCTTGTTTTGTATTACCACTTTTAATTGAAGAATGGAAACTTTTACTGAAACTAACAATAACGAATTTCTAATTGCCAGAATTTATACACATCAGTCTCATTAAAAACTGTAATTGTTGTAACTATCTTTGTGGTACACTAGCTATCTTTAAAAATTTCTTAATCAATCCTAGATTTCTGTTTCCGAAACAGTATACTTCCATGCAAATAGAAATTAATTATGGAGAGATGTGATACATTGCTGTGCACAAAAGCAAGCATTGATGATTCTGACTGCCTCAATCCAGGAAGCTATGAAATCCAATTTGCACCACAGTAAGTATAAGTCGTACCAACATCAAAGCAGTATACATATATCAGGTCAGTTATCAAACTGGCACTGCAGACTAGTCCTACCAAAAACACATGCCTAACAATATTTTGCAGTATTTACTATCAGCATAATTTTTTTTACTTTAATAGTGTGGTACAAAACACCAGCTCCTATCCTAGGTCTTTTATGTTTCATCTTTAATCTGGGTATTTTAACTGTTGTTACAGCTTCTTGTAGTAAATGTTGACATGAAACCTGTGAATGTACAAATAACCATACACTGATGGATATAATCCACATTACCTGCAGCACTGACATCTGGTGGAGGAATCTAATATAGCACAGTACCAAAAGATGTGCCAGTAAAAAATATTCCAGTAGATTCTTTCATAAACTTGAATTACTGATAAGTCTTACTAGAAGTCATAATCAATACATATTCCACATAAACATATCCATATATATTAGCACAATGATATAATGCTGGCTTTGATTGCACTTTCATCCAGCTTTCATACTCTGCATTTTGATATTAATAATCTACACCCCCTGTGTAAGCATTATCTAAAATCAAGAAATAAGGAAACTGAGGTTTGTATGCAATGAAATGTTAGGTCAGATAAACTGAGATGTAAAAAGATAACGAGGACAGCTATTCCACAAAGTTTTAAGCCCTCCAAATCACAGGCTTCTGTCCTGCTCCTTCCACCCATGTAATATCTCCTCAACAGCACTGTCATTCAACAAGGCTGCTCTGAATGAACTTACAGATGAGAAGGTAAAACATCCTGAATCCCTACAGCCTTTGGGCTGCTTCCAGCCTGCCCAACAGATGGTCAAGAAGCTCAGGCTCCCTTGGCTGACCAGAATTATTTATGAACCCTGCAGTGCATGACCTGAGAAACCCTTCCCTGGAGGGAATCGAGGCTTTCAGACACTGTCATCATCTCCATGATTTCTAAGTGCCCAGTGAATAGGAGTGCTGGTCATCCCACAGCACTGTCTGTAAAAAACGTGGTATGCTCTCTGATGTAGAATTTCTCATCTAAGTAGTTGATAAAGGCTTGCAGACTATAGCTCAAGGGAGGAGAATAGCAGAGCATATATTGTGTTGGACCGGTCATATCATTTTTAATGAAATAATGCTGTCCTGGACATCAGTCTGACCTTGGAGGTACAGTACGAAGGAAAAAACGTTTGGTCTGGGGAGAAGAGAAAGTCTCAATCCCAGCTGCTCTTCTACACTGCTTAGCTCCCCTTTGGCCCCACAAAACACACACACACACAGTGTAGATTAGACATCCCACTCCAAGAAATTCACCCATGTTCTGAGGGTTATGGCACCCGTGACAAGTAGGACACTGATGCTGTGTTTGATTTTCCATGACCCTTCCTCCAATGCCATTGCCCAAGCAAAAAAGAATCATGACTTTTACCTTCTCGTCGTGCATCACTTATCACCCTTGCTGCAGATTTACTCATTACATGGACTACAAAAAGGGGGCAGTTTACAGCATTTGCTATGGTAATTGCTCTTTGCGTAGCTTCAGCTTCCACTTCTTCAGGACGACACAGCTCATGCCCCTCAGGGCCAGTTATTCCCATTGCCAGCATCTTCTTTGCACCCTGAACACCACACAAAAACATGTAAGTCAGTTAAAGTGCAACCATGGTGCTGTGAACATGCTGCTGGACAAATGGATCCTAAACCAGCCACTGCAGCTTGTTTGAGAAAAAAACCAACAAAGCAGTTATGATTTTTTTCAAGAGAAGTTATTGTTGTGTTATCTGAAATCCAGTGTATCTCTCCATAAACACAAGTCTCAGAATACCTAAATGACTTCAGAGAACACACTCCACTGGCTTGCAGGGATAAATCACCGTTTTTGAAAACCCTACCCCTCTCTCAATATGTACTCTTAAATGATCGCAGACAGTAACTGAGGTGACAGTACTAACCCCTCATTGGAAAAAAAACCTGAAAGATCTTTACTAAGCACAAAGATACACATCCAGAGCCTCTGAATGAGGCTCCAAGGTTTTAAGAGTCATAAGATTTTATCCCTACTGTATTAGAGGAACTTATGCTTTGCTGATTTGAGATTACCTAACAATAAATTAATTTCCATTATGGAACCTGGGGCAGAGTCAAAACACTATTGACTAGAATAGTTGAAGAAACTCAAAGACATCAGTGTAGTTATACTCCCAGTGCCTCCACACAGCACTGAGACAGCAGTAGCAAGTGTGCAGTGAGGCTAACTGCGTATAAAGGGACATTGAAACTTTTGTGCCCAGTCAGTGAAGCTTTCTCCATACTTCTGGATTTGTCCCTGTCAGATGAGCCAACTATATTTGGAGAGACCTAGGGTTAGGCATCACACGCCTGGTGTCTAAATACTTGGCCGAGTGTTCCCCCTTTGACTTGGTCAATGGTCAGGCTCTGACTGTTGCTTTCGTTGTCAGTCAAGTATACATATTATATTGCAAGTATATATTATACTGCAAGTATAACTCTCATTGTAACAGGATCATTTGCCTCCTGTCTACCCTGAATCCAGGACTCTAGGTTACAATTTCTTAGCCCACCACAACCATCCTTTAGGATCTTGGACAAGATGTTTGTCTTCAGTTGCCTGGAAGTAAAATAAGGTAGGAAAAGCCTTTTCTGATGGTACAATGATGGTACTAATACATCTGTTGAAGTGCTTAGGTAATAGGACTATTTATATTCCTGACTTTGATGGACAAAATGTCAAATGACTACCTGTGCAATTAGCTCCCCATTCTCCGCATGGACTTGAGCAACTGCTCCAAGTTCCTTACAGCAGGAAAAGGCTGCATATAACTCCTCATCATTGACCATGTATAGATCTTTATAGGCCATAAACATCTTGAAGGAGTTGACGCCTTTGTTTTGAACAAGACTTTTCATTTCTTCCTTCACCTGAAAGACAGTCAGCAATTTTCAAAAACCAGCAATATTGTATTTTACCTGTCAATAATTTTGTATAAAGAACTTGTAAGTATGAAGGCTGAGGCTTTACTCACACATCAAACATACGTTCAGTCCAAACGGCCCAAGGCACATATTTAAGACTGATTTACGCTATTCTTGTATCAAATTTATTCTCAAAGTATATAAACCAGTAACACTGCAGGTGCAGATACTGGAGGCACAGGCTAATTGCAGAAAAGGAATGCAAGAAATGCAGAAAGGTAAAAGATAGTGAAGCAGGATTTTATTCCAAATAAACCTCCTGGTGTTGAAAATACACAGTCCAATACTACAATCAATGTATCCAACTTATAAAGTATGGAGATTTGTGCAAAACTGATTTTCAGAATTGGATTGTAATAGGCTTCAGCTTCTAGCAAATAACAGAGTGGCAGAAAAGATCTAATCTCCTAGAGCTTTGTCCTGACTCTAAACAACACACAGCCTTTTGAAATATTTTGTTGTCAAACAAAATAGCTCTAAAACTCTAGATGCAAGCCTGCTTTTTTTCTTGTATGCACTCCTTGATAGGATTCCCTACTTCTGCTAGGCTCTGTGAAGCCCAGCAAAACATTATGTCCCAAAGAAAGAAAGAAAGATGCAGATTTTAGCCCAAAGTTTTCTTGTACAGCTGGTTAGCTAAAACTATCCATTACCTAACTTTGGCTCTCCCTTCCCAGTAAAATGATGGTGACAGTAATTCATGTGTATCTGAGATGCTATTACAATTTCCATGGGATGAATTCCTTTCAAACAGGAAAACATTATTTTTCATCTTCTCGCTAATAATCTGGTTGGATCTGCCCAGGAAAGGTAAGAGATTGATATAAACGCAAGGAAATTATCTGGACTTATCTAGAGGAGGGATGGGAGCATATCTTGAGAGGGAATTATCAAACAAATAAATACTTGACATAAGGCCCTGGTCTGAAACAAACATAGAGGCATGTCATTTATTTTCTCCTTCACTAACTACTATGACTAAGGGAAGGCATTGTAAAGAATGTATGTTTTTAATCAATACTTTAAATCCTGAGGAGATGATAGCTAATTTGAAGGGCAGGTCTTTTACAGCTACAAAACATCAGACCTTTCTCTCTCTTTCAATCCTGGCCTTTAAAAACAGTTGATATCTTAACATAAACCAGCACATTTCATTGATTTATACCTCCCTGGTTTTATTGGATTTTTCAGTACAATTCCAGTGTTCTCTACGGAGGCTCTTTCAAATGCACATTCCTCAAACTTCACTGAAGAATTTATTTTGTGTCTTTGCATTGAGCTAGAAGTTGCAGTCAGTCTATTTAGCGCTTAGTGCACAGAATATCAAAGATGGGGTGTTTGCAGACTGAAGGCTTTGGTTTATATAGTTTAAAAGTTAAAAATTAGAGGAAGTACTCATATTTAAAAATTGAATTTACTTAATATATCTATATACTGATGCATGTTTTCTGAGGATCCAAAGTGGTCTTGTAAAACATGGGTCAGGTTCAGATGTCAAGCACCTGAAAAGTTAATTTATTCAGTAAAGCTTTCAGGCTATTAGCAAATATTCACACAACAAGGACAGTTCTCCCATATGTAAATTCCGAAAAGGTTTTTTAGATAATCTCATGTTCAAGGAATTATTGGCTCCAGTCCTGCTTGCTTTTAAGGAGATATTATGGCAGTCACCCAGGAATAGAACTCTTCCTTTACAAATAAAATTAAGTACCATTTTTTCATGTATACCCTTATTAAAAAAAAAAACAAAAAAGCATAGATCATCAAGTGTTCCAGTAACAAAAGGCAAAATTCATGCAAACACCTCTTTCCCCCTCTGGCCTGCCTGGTCTTGGTCTTGCACAACTTCAACTTTGTGCAGTATTATCCAAAGATATAGGCTATCTGCAGACTCTCTTTATTTTTTCCAAACACCTCTTTCCCCCTCTGGCCTGCCTGGTCTTGGTCTTGCACAACTTCAACTTTGTGCAGTATTATTATATAGGCTATCTGCAGACTCTATTTTTTCAAATACATGTAGTTCTAGAAGGGTGTGGACTATTTCAAATGTAGTTTTCACACACAAAACTACAAACTATTACACCGCCAGCAAGCTATATTTAGCACATGAGCACTAATTTAAAGCAGGTGCAGTACCAATTCATGGAATTGAAAATTAGCTATTGTGTCTACCTTGTTGCTCCACCATGTAACTGCCACATGCAGTGCATAATCACAGCAGACTTTAGGGTCTGCCCAGCTCTTCCATGTATCAAAGGCTTCAATAAGAGAACAGCCTTTCTGAGGGATGGCAAAGTCGATGATCATAGTGGTTCCTCCTGCTACAGCAGCCTGAAAGGAAGAAAGTTAATATTTAGCAATCAGCGAGAATGCAAAATTCCTCCCACTCTCTCCGATTCCCTGTGCAACAATTAATCTTGACACTCTGAAAAGCCAAAAGCCACTGAAGAGTTTCCCCGAGTCAAGTCTGAACTTGCAAAATGATTGTGGAGATTAATATCACCTCATTTGAAAAGGATGTTCTCAAACAGATATTCAGGGGAATCACGGGGAAATTCTCAGACTGAAGGAGAAGCTTTTGCACATGTACAAAATCTTATCAAAGATTTGGAGATGAGTCTGCAGCATTCATGCATCAGTAGGTTTTCTTAAGCAGGTTTTCTTAAGCCAGTGGGATCACTGAGAAAGAAGAGCACCCAGAAGACCACAATCAACTTGAGAAATGCTTCATCAGAGTCTACATAGTTGAAAAAACAAGCTTGTGTGACAGGAAAGTATTAAGAGGCAGATACACAATGAAAAAAAAAAAACAAAACAGATTCAGGTTGAAAATCGAGTGTGAAAATCGAGTGTAAAAATCTCCAAATTCTTGTCTAACACCAAAAGGATTTTTAGAGTGTTTTAAAATTATTTTTATTACTGATGAGGTATCATTTAGAAAAACTGCATAGCAGGTTTTTAAATACAATGAGGTATTTACATCCTCCATATAAATATTTACAAGAAAATAAACAAACAAAAGACTTTATGTATGTTATGAGGATCAAAAATTGCTTTTTAACCAATAATTTTTACTCTCCTTTATGGACATTTGAATTCTTCCTTTTTTTTTGTACTTTGAAGGATCTTTGTTAGTCACTCCCAGAAACCAGATCCTTGACTAACAGACATTGATCCAATACAGAAATTCCTTTGTTGTAACTGTTACAATCTTCCAAATTAGCCACAGAAATCCCCTGTTATTGCTCTGAACAACATCCCTTTGCACAACAGGTACAACCAATTCCGATCAAAAAATACACAGTTCAAATTCATGTTACATTACTCTTCCTATTTCTAGATCAACTAGTCTCTTCCTTCTTTCTCTTCACCTAGCAATCAGAAGCAAAATTGTAAATATGTCAGTATATTTTGCAAAAAAAGAAGTTTGGAAAGTGACGTAAACATTTGTGAATCTGTGATGAATTCAGCAAAACTTTTTCTCCAAGAGAAGCTGTTCAGACTGTCAATTTTTTTTCAACAAGACAGACTGAATTCTTATTTGTTAAACAGGATTTAGAATTAACGAATATTTATAGACTTCAAGTAAAAAAAAATTTATGGGTTCAACAACTCCACTCAAAGTCTCTTTTTTCCCCTAACATCTTTTTTCCCCTCTCTTTGTAAAGAGAGGTATTCTGTGCCTTTATTTATTCAGCTGAATGGGTAACTCTTAGCTAATCATTGTAGCATATTTTGCAATAGTTGGAACAAAACTCTGTCTCCCTGATTCTCTTGCCAAAATATTTGTCAGATGATGACCTTCAGTAAATAGCTCTGAACACTTTCCACACTTGGGCCTGGGTTAAGAAGGTCCACAATAACTAACTTTTTGACATCTGATCACTAGGCTTGATCTGGACTCTTCTTTTAGACACCAAAGTGACTATCTGGACATCCTATTTTGTGTACGCAGTCTCTGTTTTGCAGCTTCCCTGTCCAGTGCCTCAAGAAGTTACTCAAAAAACCCTCAAAACCTCAGAAAGATATTACTTTTTTTTGCAAGTTAGCACACATTTTACCTCCCCTACTTTGGGATTTCACAGTGTAGGCACCTACATCTGAGCTAGTCTGCATCTTGGTTCTCTTTAAAGTCAATGGAGGCACTTTAAGAATGAGACCTCTTAGACCTTAAGAAGGTGTTTTAAGAGAAAGCCAGTCATTGCTGTTTCTTTTACATGTTTTCTCCTGTAAAACAAAATCATCTTCTGGCTTCAAGTCACACTTGTTTGATTTCTCTTGCGATGTCCAATTTCTAAATACATCATTGATAATTAGCTTACAAAAATGGTCTTCACAGAGAAATAAAGGATTGTTGCAGAAAATGACAAAACAATAATATATATATATATTTGTGTACTGTAAATGATGTAAACTAAGTATTTCAGAAATCAAATTCTGCACTTTATTCAGCCAGGAAACATACTTTGTGACACCTGCAGATAAGCAGAACAGACATTGTGGACTTGATTTTTTTCTCTCTATTTACCACAAAAAGCAGTGTGAAGACAAAAAATTGCTTGTGGAAGCCATTTTGGTAATTATAATTTTTTTTGAAGAAATATTTTTCTAAAAAAGACAGCAATTGCTAGACCCATACAATAATAGATTCCATCATTTCTACCAGATAACTATGGAAGACACTTAATTTGGGGAAAAAAAATCCCATGATCAAATTTATAATCCCTTTCCAGCTATCAGTTCTGGAGGTGGAAATTCAGTGTTGTAGCTTTCCTTTGACATCTTATCTTACATTTGCCTTGGAGGGACATGTTATGTTTGACATTGCAGCCATTTTGGTATGGCAGGAAAGATCTGCTGCGATGGACAAAATCATTTTTTGTCAAAGTTTTGCAGAATAATTACAGTCTATTATAATGAACTACTATAACTTCTGTGCTCATTGAGAAAAACAATTCTAGTGCTTAAAATTATCCAGTGTACAATATTTCCATTCAAATAACAGCAGCAACACCAGCAAATGTATCTTGAGTTTGAATAAATACTTATTGAAAGAAATATACCAGTAATTTAATGATAACATACAGGTCATTTGTAGCCCTCCCTTCAGTACTCTAGGGTCAACATTAAAAAAAGCCAAATCCTTGTTCGAGTATGGAAATGTACAATTATGCCACTCAGACGATCTAACTCGCACTCTCATGACATGATGGGGCAAGCAAGAAATGAAATTTCCTGTTAAAGAATAGGGTCAATCTAAGCAAGACGGCAAACTTGAAAGGTTCTTAATAGTTGTGTGGTTACTGCATCACACCATTTGTTAAATGGAGTTGAATTTAACTTATTTCAATTATTTCAAAGAGGCAAATTAGTATTTTGCACGTCAGAAAAAATGCACATCAGTGAAATCCTTTTCTTTAGAAGGGATGCAATACCGCTTTCTGCTTTTTAGCAAAGCTCAGTTCTGCTGTGAGAGGGACACGATGTAACAGGCTCTCTGAGGATGCTGGCTAACAGACAAGCCAACTAGGGCAATGTGGTCCCTTCTGTGGGCAAAGGATTTCAGCCTGCATAGCAAAGCTCTTAGTAAAGCACCTTACAAACTTTAGGGAGCTCTGTACGAGTATTTTTACTGTATGGAGGTGATGCATAATACCGTTAATATAGTAATTGATATACTGCTAATGCAAGGAATGTAATGAGATCAGCTAAAAAGCTGAAAAAAGCCCACTCCATGTGTAAAACTGGGAGAAATTAGATACTTTTAGAAAGTGAATATGAACTGGACTTTCACCGAGACACAGTAAGATCCAAAGTGAATGACAGAAGAAAAGCTTGCATTCCCCCATGCTGACAGAGAAGAAAGATCAGATTACCACAGAAGTGCTCCCAATGCACTGGGGAGTTAAACTGCTGCTTTAGTTAACCTTTGCTCAGAAAAGTATGAAGCTTGTTGCATATACCAATGCAAGCTGTCATCTGCATGGTGACAGCCAGGGAAAATGACTGCACTTAACACTTGCCAACTGCAGCCAGAAGAATCTCTGAAGGAACCCAAATAACATACTGGTTGAAAGTGGACCTCCGAGTACCCCAACTGCTTATTACAACATCCCAGACAACGGACAGTAACAATTGCCTGTGCTTGATTCACACTCTATTCTCTCGTTTGGAAGTAATATTAAATAACGAGCTGACATCCCTTTCTGAGAAAGCCCAGATGCACACACAGACACATATGTGCACCCACCTTGGTTCCTGTATAGAAGTCGTCTTTTGACGTGCTACCCATAAAAGGGAACTGCATGTGCGTATGAGTATCGATGCCCCCAGGGATCACCAGCTTGTTGGTCGCATCCAGCATGACGAGTCCGGTCGGTGGCTCAGGGTTTAGGTTTGGTCCCACTTGCTGCACCACTCCATCTTCCACGTACACATCAGCCACCACAGAGAAGTCGTCGTTCACGACTTTCCCCCCTTTGATCAGAAGTCTCTGCTGAGCCAGGTTTTGGTGTGGCATGGGAGCCTGGAAGGTGAGAGTGAGGCCTCAGCTCAGAAAGTTGCTCTTGCCTGAGAGTACTTCACTGCCCATGTCCCAGAGCAGCAGTTATCTCCAAATGGCCCTAAACACACACGCACAGTGCTCTTTAAACAGACATAAGCGGAATTGCCCCCTCTGCCCTTGGCAGCTCCACCTCCCACCTCCAGCGGAGCACCAATGCCCAGCGAGTGCAGCGAGCCGGCACAAGGGATGGCGGCCGAGTGTTGCCTTCGGGCCCTTCCTTCCTGCTCCAGTCTCTGCCTGGAGAATGCGGGGCCAGGCTTTCCGGAGGGTCCGTCTCGGCTCTCATGGCACTCGCTCCAGCCTGCCCTGTACACCCCATGAGACGGGCTGGGCTGTTTTGAAAATGTGGCCATTCATCGGCTTATGATGCCCAAAGGTGACCCAAGCTCTTTGCAACAGGGTCTGAGGAAACTAAGGGTGACTGAGCTGCCTGCAGCTGCCCGGGAGCCTGCGAGTCCT